CCCGCAGCAGCGCTGGAGGAAGAGGAGACACAATGCGAGGAAGTGACCGACGGCTCCCGGCGCGGCCCCACGCCCCCGCTGCAAACTCAAACCGGGGTTGACCCCCCCGCTTGCAAAACAGCTTTGCGCAACCCAAAACCTGCTGCGGTGCCCGCAGCACCCCGGGACCGGAGGAGGAGGGACGCGAAGGGGAGGCACTGGGTAGGGAAGGGGCAGCCTCCACTGGGTACTGGTTTCTAGTTTTTGCATTAAAAAATGAAAAATGAATGTTAATACATAATAGTAATAATAATAATAAACCAAGAACCACCTCCCCATCCAAGCCATTCACTGACCGGGTGCTCATATGGCCAGTGTCCCACAGAGGCTGCAGAGCTCCCCTACACCCACTGTGATACGCTTCAGCTCTGCCTCCAGCCATCCCCATGTTCAGGGCATACTCAACAAAATTTAACAAAACCGCTCTGAGACTGGAAAGGGGAAGACGGCGCTTTTACCTGCAGACCCGAATCTTGAATTTTTTAGATTTATGCCTAGCTACCGCCGTGCCCCTCAAAGCAGCTGCATCGCCGGAGCATCCCGGCACACCCCAGCCCGGGTCCCCTGCAACCCCTCTGCAGCGGGCACCGGGGGAAGCTCCAGCGACTTTGTTTCCTACTGCCGCACCCGCTGCTTAGCCTAATAAACTGCTTTTCTGCTATTTCCACGTTGCATCCATCGCCCTTGTCTCCCCTCGCAATCCTCTTCCTGCACAACACTTTTTGGACGTGCACTGCCACTGCAATCCTCTACACATTGTGATGCAAAATGATCATGCAAGTGTGCAAACAGTTTGATTTTGCTTTTCCCCCTGCTTTGAGAACACACGGAGAAAACCTGTTACTCATCCAAAGGGGCTTATTGATTTCTCGGGTTTGCACCATGCACCTGGACATGGGGAGAAAAAAATAAATCCCTCATCACGCACGTTACAGTTACGGGAAAAATAAAATAGAAATAAAAAAATAAAGGCCCCCTCTCCAAGCTACTGCGGTTGGGTCCTTTCCCCACCGCCACCGTGTACCAGCCAGCCTGGGGAACACCAGCTGGGCACGACATACAGGAGTTTTCCCCCTCATGTTTGCTGAGGTCCCTCCGCAGGCGCAGCGGGCCGCTTCCCTTCCGCCACCGTTTGCGAAGCGAGGCGGGGAGGTGATGCCGGCAAATAAAGGCCCCCTCTCCAAGCTACTGCGGTTGGGTCCTTTCCCCACCGCCACCGTGTACCAGCCAGCCTGGGGAACACCAGCTGGGCACGACATACAGGAGTTTTCCCCCTCATGTTTGCTGAGGTCCCTCCGCAGGCGCAGCGGGCCGCTTCCCTTCCGCCACCGTTTGCGAAGCGAGGCGGGGAGGTGATGCCGGCGGCAGGACGGGGAGAGGCGGCTCCCCCCGTCCGGCCAGCAGCTGCGCCAGGAAGGCATAAAATCTGGTTTGCATACTTGAAATGCTTCCCGTATGAAAACTGGCAAGGCCCCATTCTGTAAATTATTTAGCAATAAAGTCACTAACGAGGAACAGTTGAGCTCCGGGCTGGGGATTTCGGTGCAGTCCAAAGTGCTTGCTTGAAACCCGTGCAAAAAGCAAGAACCGAGAGGCGGCCGAGGCCAAAGGCATCTTCCCCGGGGGCTGCAGAAATGCAGCTCTTCCCCTCCAGCCTTTGGGAAACCGGGGAGGGGGATGCGAGGGACTCGTACACTGTGCAATATTTACTGTGCAAAACCCACCCAGCGCCTTTCCCGGCTACGGAAAGCCCCACACGACCCCACAAAACACCCGTGGCTGCCGCTAATTGCCCATTTTTTCCCACTGATAATTCATTTTCACCTTTTATCGCAAGCTGCTCTGCTCAGGAGATACAGCGGGCTATTCCCTGGCAAATGATTAACCGGCAGAGGAGGATCCAGGCAGGGCAGCTTGCGCAAGGGCCACCGACCCCGCTGGATTTCTGCAAATTGCAGCATTTTGGTGAGAATCCAAGAAAATCCCCCCGCTGGCAGGGACCCCTCCAGGGATGGGAGACGGGAAACAAGCCCAAGGAAGGGCAGCCCGGGGGGGAATTCTGCAGCAGAACATCCTGGAGGAGTCCTTTGGCATGGCCCAACAGCAGACTTGCAGCTGTTTCTTACAAAGCTCCTTTCTATAAAGCGCTGCACAACGCAGCTTCCCCGAAACCGCACCATTGCCCTCTGGTCCTGGTCACAAAATGGTGAAAAAACTCAAAAGCATTCCTCCTCCGAAGCATGCAGCAAGGCAATTTAATCCCCAACTTAGTACTCGGCTCCTGACGCAGGCAGAAACTACTGAAAGATTAAAATCCAAGATCTATAAGAAGCTATAGGTGCAATCTGGAAAGGAGCATGCAGCATCGCGCTCCCTACGCCACCGGCTGCTGGACGCAGAGAAACTTGAATTATTGAACTCAGGATCAGCCAGATACCTTAGGTTCTTGCTTATATATATATACACCCACATATATATAATTTAAGATGTATACACACACAAAAAAAATGGATTGCGCTTTGCAATATATGCTTATTTTCGCACTATATATCTATTTTGCAATATATATATTGCAAAGCGCAATCCATTTTTTGCAGATATATATACATAAAAATTGCAAAGCACAATCCACGCAGCCAAGGTTTGAGGGGAAACACCCTACACCTCTTGCTAGGCTCAAACAGCAAAAGACGCGCCGTCAGCTCTCTTAATATATCACGAAGTGCTGTGGTCCTTGCTCTCTTCCCAACTCCCTCCTGGGGCTCCCACCGATGTCTTCGCTGTAGAAACCAGGAATGGGCTTCAAGGCAAGTCAAACCCTCTGCACTCTTCTCAGCAAGTTTTTAAAGGGTTTTCTGGGAAAGAAGCTGGTGTTTCAGGGAAGCGATGGGGATGACAGCATCTCCTGCTCTCCGCAGTTTCCTCAGGAAACCCCTTAATGGGCCATTTCTTGCATTATATCAAGCTTTTTATTAGCACCCGCTACCGGGAGGACTGGACCGAAGCAGCCATCCCATACGCTGCCTTACACCTGTAATTACCCTCCTTTCCATACAGGATTTCCACCCCGCTCTGACATTTCCTGGGGCTCCCCATCCCCCCAAAACCATCAGCACTCATCCACCAAAATCACACCAACACAATTATCCCCCCAAAGCAGCTCCCCGCCTCCACACCGAGCATCTGCTCGCAATCCCTCTCCTGCAAGTTTCCATCCCGTCTCAACCGGCATCTCCAGCTCGAGAAGGTCCTACAGAGAAAGCCCGTTTTATTTGCATAAATTGCATTAAGAGAACAACTCGGCTTGAGAGGGAAATTTTAACTTCATTTTAAAATGTGGGGGAAAAAAATCCCCGCTGCTATGCCAAGTTTAAGCACCTAAATAAACGATCCGAAAAGCACCATTTGCAGGCAGCTCTTTGCAATCGTTACAGAAAAGTTACAATAACCAGGAAAATAGGGCCAATTATTCAGAAACCTCATTTCAGCCTCTATTTCTTCCACATACAGACGGCTCGGCAGGGATTTCCATATGCCTTCCTGCGAGCTGGCTGGGTCTGTGCCTCTATTTGAAGCCGTGAAGGAGCTGTACGTGGCTTGAAGTGAGCATCAGCCCTCTCGAACGGGGACCGGAGCTCAGCGCCCTGCACGAGGGGGTCCATGTGCATCCGCAACATGATGCAAAAATCCGGAGAATACAATAATTAAAAAAAATTTTTTTGCAGTTCAACCTTGCAAGCATTGCTATATTGGGGTGCAAAGTTAAATTTGCTATTAGGAATCGCTGCCCAAATGCAACAACCCCGATGCAAAAAGCTTCCACAGCACATTTTCCCCAGCATTTTTGCCCCTTTTTATTTTTTCCTTTTTAACCTTTTTTTGGGGGGGTGTTGTCTGCGTACTGTACTTCCTGACCAAGCAGGGGAAAGGAGGCATCGCCCCGCGCAGACAAGCCCCATCGCACGCCGGCTCATTCCAGCCCCTTCCAAATCTGCCGCAAGTGGGCAGTGATGACATTAATGCAATTTAAACATTTCCCGGACTAATTGACGAAAACTACCATTCACGCTGAAATAATTGGCTGTTAATTATATTTCAGTTGACAGCATTAAACTTCCATGACACTGTTGGATTCTGTATCCTTTATACTTTAAGCACTGATTAGTGTTAACAGACAATGTAAATAAGGTTTTGTTTTGTTTTTTGGTTTTTTTTTTTTTTTAATTGCAGGTAACACCTCCAGAAAGAATTTGCGGCTGAAGTTTCCACTCTGACTCCTGCAAATCCCATCTTGGACTCCTCTCAGCAGCAGATCCAACGGCCGTGCAGCAGCAAAACCTTTTACTGGCCTTGGAGCAGGCATCACTTTAAAAACATCCATTTAAAAGCCTTTTTTTCCATGTAACTCAGCTGACAAGATTGCTGTACATGCGTTTCTGTCTTTGGAGGGTACATATTAAAAATGAATGCAGTATAAACGACAAGGTTTATGTTGGTGAAATTAGTATCTTAGAAAGCTGCATTTTGTGCTGCTCTTGCAAGTTTACCGGCGAGATGGTTTTTGCTTTGCTGGGCCCAAGTCAAGTGGTTTTTTATCCAGAACATCAGC